TCAGGGCCTGTAAGGCCAGGCTGGTGTTTGTGGCCCCTGGGTCACGTCCTTTCACTAGCCCCTTCTCCTCCCACATCCTGCCCCACCCACCCTGCATGCCCTAGTGGCTGGGGTGCCGGGCAGGGGGGGGGGTCCCCCCACCCGCCCTGTTTCACTAGCCCCTTCTCCTCCCACATCCTGCCCCACCCACCCTGCATGCCCTAGTGGCTGGGCTGCAGGGCAGGGGCTGTGCTCCCCTCACTGGCTTCGGGGGGAGGCACTGAGGAGTGGGAGCCCTGCCAGGCAAGGGGACCAGCTGGCTCTGTGCCCCAGGCATTGGGAAGCACCGTGTGTCTGCCCCGCAGGCTGGGTCAGGAGGAGGCAGAGGGTAGGCCGTGGTTTGGGTCCTAAGCGGAGGCTGTCCCCCCCAGGGCCAGGGGCTGGATTCTGGTGGGAGGGCACTGGCTTCGGGGGGAGGCACTGAGGAGTGGGAGCCCTGCCAGGCAAGGGGACCAGCTGGCTCTGTGCCCCAGGCATTGGGAAGCACCGTGTGTCTGCCCCGCAGGCTGGGTCAGGAGGAGGCAGAGGGTAGGCCGTGGTTTGGGTCCTAAGCGGAGGCTGTCCCCCCCAGGGCCAGGGGCTGGATTCTGGTGGGAGGGGCAGGCTAGCAGTTCGTCCGTGCCTTTTTTCGTTCACGGGGGGGGGGGGGTGGTTGAGCTACACGGCCCTAGAGGACATGGGCTGGGGCCGCCTGGCGCTAGGTCTGCCCCAGTGGGGGGGCACACTCCAGGCTGTTCTCGGAGCCCGCAGACGAATCCCGGGACGAGCGGCCCTGCAGGAAGCGGACGATCTTCTCAATGGTGGCCTCTTGGTACTCGTGGGACCATCTGCATTCAGGAGGGAACAGGCTGCAGCCCCCTGGTCTCTGCAGGTGAGCACAATACACCAGCCCATGGGCGCTGTCAGACCCACCCCTCTGGGCTGCTGCTCCGTGCCCAGCCACAGGCTGCCCAGGCCGCTGTTCTCGGCACTGGCCCACCCGCCCCGCAGATGCTGGTGTAATTGCAGGACCGCAGTGGCAGAGGGCACGGGCCACCCTGGGTCTGGGGCTGACAGGCCACGTCCGGGTCCTGCTGGCAGTGGGTGTCAGTGTCACCTTGCGGGCACTGAGAAGGGGGGTTGTCAGTACTGGACATGGGGATCTGCAGCTCTGTAGCTCAAGGCCCTACAGCGGGTCCATGTTTGGCTCGACATGTCTGAGTCAGCAGCTAAGTAGCGTGTGCAGGCCTTTGGGAGGGAGCCCAGCAGGGGAGCTGGCATCAGGTGAAGCGCAAAGGGGCGCGCAGCTGTATCTGGGGGTGCAGACCGCTCCTGGCACCCTCCCCTGGAGGAGGGGCTGGGCCCCCTGAGAGCAGTGGCTCGGCCCGCCCCGGGGGGCGCTCTGGGGGGGGGGCAGAGCAGCCGCGTTTCAGACGAGGGCAGCTCAGGTTTGTATGAAATTGGATTTTGCCCTGTTTCCAGTCTTGCAGGGCTGGCTCTCCGGTGTGGTGGGGGGGGGGTCCTGCGGGAACATCCCGCGTGTCTGGTGCCTTGGCCTGGACGTGGCAGGGGCAGTGTGTCCTAGCACGTAAGGGCCAGGGAGCCCCAGGGGAGGAGGCAGCAGGGCTTGCCTTGCTTGTGGAGTCAGGGAGCTGAGCCGCAGTGGCACACAAAAGGCTCCCTCATGCTATGGGCAGGTGGTAGCGAGGTGCCTCCGAGCCCTGGCACCTCTGGGAAGTCTGGGCCATGGGCTAGTGGGGCCCCACCCCCCCTGGGATGCGGTTCAAAGTGCCAGTGGGCCGTGGGTGCTGGGGACCAGAACAGTTGTGCCAGGAGCAGGGGTGGAGGACGACTCTGCCTAGCTTGGCTGAAGGACTGCAGGGGATATGAGACCTGCCTGCAGGTGGCTGGGGCCAAAAGGGCAAGGCGGGAGGAGAATCACGTCAAAGGGGGCCAGGAGAAGAAAATTCCACCTTGCAGATGGGTCCCCCCTGCAGAGGCTGGCACCTCCATGCGCCATCCCTGGAAGTGGGATGTTCAGCAGCCTCCCTCGGCTTCCCTCATCTGCCCGCTACTTCCTGACTGAACCGCAGCCTCCCACACGCCACGTGGCAGCCGCCCTCGCACTCACTTGATGCCGTTAAACTTCAGGACAGCCCGCATGTCCTCGGGAAGAGCCTGTGGATCCGGCCACTCAAAATGGTCAGTCACGGGGATGATGTTCTTCCCGCAGCTCAGGGCTGTCGCGATCTCCTGAGGGAAAGGCCAGAGCTTACCCCAGCTCCCGCCTGGCAGCCAAAGCCATCTCCAGCGCCTCCCGCTCCTGTGGTGGCTCCCCAGGCACAGCCCTTGGAGCTCCTGCACCAGGCTCTCACCTTGTGCACCCAGTCCTTGCGCTCAGGGTCTCCCATGCACTTATCCAGCGTGTTTGGCGAGAGAACCAGCACGAAGTTGCGGGCGTTCATCACGCTCTGGATCAGCTTGTCCTCAAACTTCCCCGCCTCCAGCTTCTCCACATCTATGAACACACTGAAGCCATGCAGCTGCAGATGCACCTTCAGCAGGCTGGGGGCAAGAGAGTGGCACCATCAGGGACCCACAGCAGGCACCCTCTCCCCCCCGTCCTCATCAGCTCAGCCAGAGGCCCTGGGAAACTGGAGCTGACAGCAGGCGTCCACAGAGCCAACTGCAGCCTCAAGGTGGTAGCCACGGGCTTGGGCCTGTGACCGAACTAACAAGGCAGGAGGCTTTCAGCCCAGCCCCTGACCGGCCCACCTGGGGTGTGGCTTGAGAAAAGTGCAAGTCCCCATCACATGGCCAGGCTGGCACCGGGAGGCTAAATTCCCCTGCCGGCCTCCTCCGCTCTCACTCAGCCTCCAGGCTCTGTCCCCGCCCACTGTTGCTCTTCCCAGGGGGCTGCAGCATTGTCCACATGGGTCAATCCTAAGCCACAGCGCAGCCATCGCGCCTTCCCTGGTATGGGTCCCATGGGGCGGGCCCCTTGGCACTCACCTGGCCAGCTGGGACCCAGTGCTCCGCCGGTAGCTGGAGCTGGATTTGCAGCCACTGCATGGCAGGGGAGAGTGAAGCATTTCTAGACGCAGGAGTGGATAGAAGCCAAGAGTTAATGGTGACTTTGATCAGTCACGTAGCAGGCCTATTAATCCCACCCGGACCCCAGCCCAGTGCCTTAGCCAGCCTCGTCCGGGTCTGAGCAGAGGCCCCACCAGCCCCCAGCCGGCGCGGGGAGGAGGCCCTACCCCTGGCGGCAGAGAGGATGCGCACGCGGTGGAAGCCCACGCTGATGTGGCAGTCCTCCTGCAGCTGCTCCTCCGTGACGCGGTGGAGGAAGTTGCGGTCGATGCCGCAGGTCATCAGGTTGTACGTGTACTGGCGGAACTTGGGGTCAATGCTGCCCAGCCAGTCGGCCAGGTTGCTACGGTCGCAGGTGGAGTAATTTGCATATGTCTTCAGCTCCGTCAGCTCCCGGAAGAACCTGGCAAGTAAGCGGGCGTAAGCCAGGAAAGGAGTTACCAGGGCTCGGGGCAGGCAGGGACTTGGCGCGCTGGGAGGAGAAGAGAGCACAGGAGAGAGATGACCAGACAGACCAGCAGAGGGGCAGGACTTGCATCCCGGGGAGCAGAGGCCACGGCCAGTCTGAGTCTTTCTGAGCAGCAGGTCCCGTGCTGAGAGCCCCTTGCCAGCCACACCCTGTGAGAACTTCCACTGGCCGCGGGAGGTCACAGGCAGGTGCTGTCATTGCTGGGGAAGCAGGGGCAGCGCAAAGGTCTTTGCAGGGACGGCTGTGGGCGAGGCCTGCGTGTGCAGCGCTGCCCCAGGACACGGGCCTACCTCTTCCGGACGATGCTGGAGGCCATCCCCAGATCTTCCTGCAGGTCCGTCTCCGTCAGCCGCAGCAGCAGGTCCCCGTCCACCTCGTGGTCCTGCCAAGAGAGGAGATGGCAAAGCTGCCCACCAAGCACACTGGAGCCCTGAGCCAGGGAGGGGGCTCAGGCAGAGGAGGCGGGTGAGATGGCCATGCAGTGAATGGGGGCAGCTCCAGTGCCCTATGCCGTTAGCTTCACCAGCCAGGGGTGGACCTGCTCAGCAAGGACCATGCAGACCCCAGCAGAGAGAACCGCCCGCCGGCTGCCCACGCCTGCTCTGGCTAGTGACGTCTGTTCCCCTGACTGCTCGAGGGCAGCCGTACAGACAGCAGCGCACGCGTATGGCGGGCTGGCCTGCTCTGGGCATGCCACAGACACTGGCCTAGTTCCCTGTAGCCCTGCTCAAGGAGACGTGGCCATGAATGGCTCCATTGCTGTGGAGGACAATTTATCTGCAGGGACCCTTATTCCAAGGGTGGGTCCTTTGTGTGTTCCCGGCAAAGGGCCTGTCCACTGTCCCTCTCTCGCAAACACGACCCTACCAGGAAGCTCTGGCAGTGTTTGTTGAATCCAATCTGCTGCAGCCATGTCTGCACCTCGCTGGGTTTCCAGCTGGAGACGGTGGGCAGGATCCGCCGAGGCACGTCCTCGCCCATCATGCGCAGCGTCTTCTTGGCCAGGCACGAGGCAGTGGTGTTGGTGGAGTAGCACACTATCCTCTTCAGGCTCTGGGCAGCCCCAATTTCACTGAAAATCTGGGCACACAAGAGTAGGAGCCCTCACAGCCTTATAGCCCCAGGTGCCTTCCCTCTGAGTCATGCCACACAGTCCTGGCACATGGGCATGTCAGGACACCGCGGCTTCCCAAAGGCAGAGCAGTGAACACCCAGAGGATGCAGGACTGCTCGGACGCCAGCTCAATGCCCTCCTCCTCCCACACCTGCCTGTCGCAGGTAACCTTACCTTGGTTTTCTTCTGCCTGGCTTTGATGGCAGCCTCCGTGCACAGGTAGAAGACAGCGATGCACTGTGCCTCCAGCCGCGAGCTGTCCAGCAAGGGCACCAGGTGCTGCAGGTCCTTGGCTGTCCTCCCCTGACTGCTGTCACTGCTGTCCAGCAAGTCGCATGCGAACTGCTCTGGGTCCAGCGAGGCAATGAAGGGCTCCACCAGTGCCAGGGTCCCCGACCGCTCCACCTCCTTTTCGATCTCTTTGTTGGTGGCCAGCACCGTGATGGCCAGGCAGGCATGCAGGCGGATCAGCTCGTCGTCTTTGGAGAACACCAGCGGGAAGAGCCACTCTGCTGCCTTCTTCTCGATCATCAGCCGCTGGTTGGCTTGCCCGCCATACATGGCACAGTTGGCCAGGGCCATGGCGCAGTGGCGAAGCACAACGGGGTCAGTCCAGCGGCACCAGTAGAGGATGGCGTCCAGGCCACCATTGGAGATGAGCTGGGAACAGGTGTCCTCGGTGTGTTTGAACATGTGCTCCAGGATACCCGAGAGGCTGCGTGCCAGCTGGGGGCTGTCTCGCTCCTTGGTCAGATTCAAAATCACCCCCAGCCCAATCCGGGCGATCCGGTCCCTGGTGTGAAAGGGATGTGTTGAGGCCTACCCAGAATATGTCAAATGAGCACCAGTTTAATTGTAAGTGGAAAGGAAAGGCAGCATTGTGAGATACAGGAGATAAAAATAAAAACAAAATTTGATTGGATGACCAACAATAACCCCGCTTTTAGGGAAGTAAGTAACTCAGACAGCAGTATGCAACAAAGTGCTGATTACCCCAAATGGAGCAGACGAAAGTTTTTGTAAGGGCAGCATGAGACAACAAAAATCTAACGTCAGCAATTGTCAGGCGAGTGGAGGATACCAAAATACCAAAACAGGGTATATAAGGTGGGCTGAAACAGACCAAGAGCGGACGGGTTGCGAATCCAAAAAGCCAGGTCTGATCAACCAGGACTCCCTCCCTGGCGCTGAATCTCGCTGCCGCACATAAGCTCCGAAAGGGGAACGAACACCGGTCGTAAGTTGCAACGAAAAATCCAAAGAAAGGAAAAACATAACGAAAAGAATCTCTCCTGAATCTAAGCAATGCTTCTGTCTTTCTTAACATGAGTAGTATATATTTGTTAACTCCATACATTGTTTAAAGGTAAATCAGGAGGGTATATCTGTAAGAGAAGTTATTATTTCTTGGGTTTTTTTAACTGTACTGTTTTTCTACTTTTTCTTTGTATATTATATTGTCTTAAAAGAATCAAAAATAGTGAATTGATTTAAATGGAAAATTAATTATAAAGTAAATAGAAAAAATAAAAAATCTTTGTTGACCCTAAAAAGAAGTATTCCTCTGTCTGTGGTTTCAAATCCTTTAAAGAACCAAACCTGGTTACCAAAACCTGGCAGCGTAAGAAGCAGAGGGAAGAAGGGTGAAAGCAAAGAACAGGGCAGTGCCATGATGCCTAGAGACTGAACTCGTCAAGGTTTGCAGGTGTTTGCCGCGGGAGGCTGTAACATCGTCTCATTAAAATGTAACCGTACAGACTGATTCTGTTGCCACCCTGATTCTGTATGTGCCACAAGGCTTGCCCAGGAGGTGGGGGAGGGAGGTGTCCGCGGGAAGGTGATTGGCTGGTATGAGTATGTGATGAGTGTGTGTGTCAATTGGGGTGCGACTGAGTCACCCCGGGGAAGCACGTGGCCAGTGTGCTGCCAAGGGCCTAGTCAAGGTGAAGGGCCCATCAGGAGCATTTAACTGACAATGGGAGGGGCCAGTCCACATCTGAGGAGCCTTCCTGGGACCATTCAGACTAGCATGTGAGCAAGGGTGTCTACCTGCAGACTGCTGAGCCCCAGCCCTAGATACCGTGACAGGGTCCGCGCAGCCCCACTACAAGCATGTGGAGCCCAACAGACTGGCCAGGCTGTGACACTGCAGGGAATGTGCTGGCAGGACGAGGAGAGGAGAGCAGCCAGCCCCACAACGCTGTGCTGCTACTGGCCCAGGGAGTCCACATTGGGGTGGATCAGCAAAGTCAGAGGGATGCAGCCAGCCCCTCCATTGGGGCACGTGGGAGGGAGTTTCTGGGAACTCCTGTTCTCCGTGCTGCTTACAGTGACCTTGGGCTGGGTTTGGCAGCGAGCCGCTCAGAGAGCTCTGGAAAACAGAGCCTGCCTGCGGCTGGGATCCGGAGTCCAGGCCCTTCTGCATGATCCCCTGTGCGTGTGGATTAGCCGCGTCGCTGGCCAGGGCAGGGCGCGGGCATCCTGAGCTCATTGCAGCATGGGGACTGGTGCAAAGGATTCTGGGTAGGAGCTGGTGTAACGGGCCGCGTGTGTGGCCATGGACGGAAGCAGGTGAGAACCTTCCTTGAGTTTGAAATGGCTCAGCCCTGGGAGGCCGGTGCCGGGGGGCCAGCCTGGGAACACAGGGAAGAGGGATCCCCGCTCTGGGATATCCTGCCTGCGTTCGCGCAAGGCACAGCACAGCCTGCCATGCTGCTGCCGGGGCTGGCTGGCAACAATGAAGAGACTTGGCTGCAGGACAGGTTGTTCCGGCTGAGTCAGACCATGAGGCCAAGTGGCTGCTCCCTCTTGCCAGGAACTGAGGGGCTGAATTCAAATTCCCGGCGCTGACATTCCCTCCCATGGCAATGACACCCTAATGCAGGGTCTGCAACAGTCTTAAGCATGAGATCACGTTGGGAATGGAAACGCAATCCGGGATCTACCTCCCACCCAAACAGCCTGGCCCCGCTTGCTTCCCGCCCCTTCTCCAAGGCCCCGCCCCTACTCACCCCATCCTCACTCACTTTTATCAGGCTGGGGACAGAGGACTGGGGTGTGGGGGAGGGGGTGTGGACTCTGATCTTGGGCTAAAGGATTTGAAGAGGGGGCGGGATTCTGAGCTGACCCTGGGGCAGGGAGTTACGGTGCAGGAGGGAGTTCAGGGCGCAGGGGGACTTAGGGCGAGGGCAGAGGGTTGGGGTTCAGGACTGGGGCTGGGGTTTGGAATGCAGGCTCCAGCTGGGCACTGCTTACCACAGGGGGCTTCTGAGGGGTGGTGCAGGGGACTAAGGCAGACTTACCCCTATGCTGGCCCTGCACTAGTCCCGAAAGCAGCCAGCAAACTCGCTCCCCCCCGGCCCCCTACCCCCCCACTTTGTGGGGCTGCGATACAGGCTAGGGGGCCTCCTCTTCTTTCTGTGCCCCACACAGCAAGCACGAGGCTCCCGGGGCTGGGGGCAGCTCCAAGGCAGAGGGCAGGAGCAACACAGCCCTGCTTCGAGGGGCAGATGAAGTGCCAGCAGCTGGCCAAAGCCCAGTCCACTGGCTGGTGACCACTGCCCTAAACACCAGGGCTTCCTGGGCCCTGCTGTTATCCCAGGGGGTGAATGTGGCTAAGCGCCAGCCTGCCCAGTGAGGTCAGCTGCAGCAGGTGCCAATCAACACGGGCACCAAGCAGCATTCGCAAAGGAGGCCCTGCCCTCCAGAAATGCCTCCTGCTCCTGAGCTGAGTGTGTACTTGACAACTGGTCCCCGGCAGCAGTGTGGGCCCAGCACACGAGTGTGCAAAGACCGCACCTCGCACAGTCACTTTCTGAGCATGGTGCTACCTGCCCCCTCTGTTCCTGTCCCAGAAAAGTGAGTCCTCGCTGTCAGAGTCACCTCTCTGGACACCCAGGTCTGTGGGACGTCAGCTGCCTGTTGGGCCTGGAGCCAGGGCGCGTGCAGAGGCAGCAGCACTGGAGCTGGGCCCAGGCAGCGCGGGTAGCGAGCAGGAGAGGAAGGGGACTGGGTGGACACTGGCGTGAGCTGGCAGGACAGAACGTGACTGTCACCTTCACAGGAAACATGAAGACAAGACGTTTGGGCCAGCTGGCAATGCTTTTCTGCCATTTCCAAAGCCAAACTCGTCCAGCAGGTCCAAGCCCCGAGCTGTGCACTGTCCCATGGCCGGCGCAGGTGAGGGCAGGTCCAGGCCAACCTGGGAGCAAGGAACCAGGCGTGGGAGTCTGGGCTACTAACACAGAGGTCAGGGGCAACTGCGAGGGACTTGGGGGAACCAGCAGCCAGGCAGGAGCCACTGGTGGAGCTGGGGTGTACGTGCTGAGCCCGGGGAAAGCTGCCCTGGACCTCTCCCCTTGCAGCAGTGGCACAGAGCTCGAGCAAGAGACTTACTGACCTAGCAGGGCTTAGAACCAGCTGCCTCTGCCCGGCCACGCAGGGTCCCAGGGACAAGGAGCAAGGCGCTGGGGTGCAGGGGGCTGCTGCCAGCATATAGCTCAGCCACTGGGACGCCTTGGCCAGCTGAGGTCACCGGCTGGATGAGCTGTGCCCTGTGAGAGCTGAGATCACAGCCCAGCCCAGAGAGAGGCCGGTGGGAAAGCTGACGCGCTACCTGTGAGCAGGCAGAGCTGCGTGCCTGAGCCCGGCGTGCAGCTCTAAGTTCGGCCCGGCCCGCCGCCCCACTCAGGCCCTTGGGCCCGTAGCTCCAGCAGCTGCAGCAGCACTAGCAAGCGTCAGCTGGAGGAGAACTCTCGTGGCCCCAGGCTGAGCCTCTGGGCGATGCAGGGGTGGGGCAGCGGCAGATATAGGGCAGGGCGAGCGGGGCGGCTGCCCCGGGCCCTGGGCCCCACAAACGCTCATCAGTCCCTGGGGTGGGGACAACGCAGCCGCCACCCCTCGGAGCCCACAGTGTGAGGGAGAGCGCTCGGAACACACGGCCTAGAGAGAGAGCCGAGCCGTCCCAAATCCTGTACACACATGCGGGGCCGCAGCGCCCTGCCCGGCCCGGCCCCTGCTGCCGCTGGAGGACACTCCCTGGGCTGGAGAGGGGCCAGGCTGGGGAAGTGGCTCAGTCAAATTCCAGGGACTTGGAGAGCAGGGACAGGAGGAGGGCTCTGCAGGGGGGCACAGGGCGGGGAGGGCTCTGCAGGGGGGCACAGGAGAGGAGGGCTCAGCAGGGGGGCACAGGAGGGGAGGGCTCTGTGGGGG